CACAGGTCGTATACTGGTACTGCATCTGGGATCAATTACCGCTGTAGCAGTAAACAAGATATTTTGCCCCTTCTGAGAGAGGGCTGGAATTGGTCCGAAAGCCATGCGATACTGCTAGGCAGATGTGGTGGATTTAATTTCCATGGTAACCTAACCAATAACTGTTCCATCTTTTATATTTGGCAGTGTCCAAATAGTGGTTATAAGTCTGAGACTCTTGGGGCTCGTTTAATTTACATCAATACCTATCGCATTAAATCACAACTTATCACTGGTTCATTCATTTTTCCAGGAATGATAATTTTTGCTGTGGTACAAGTTTCAGCGGTTATTCTCGTAACAAGTACATTTTCCACTGTATTCAATATCAGCTTCTATCCCACTACGTAGAGGAATGGGACCACATATCATGTCACTCATGTGGCCTCCTCTGTTTTCAGCAATGTGAACCATCTTGTTTACTTACCAAGATTTTGCACAAACAGTGATAATAATCACTTCCAATGATTAAATCAATTGGACTAATAGTGTCCGTCTGTATGTCAGGACAGGTCTAACTTGACCTTAGCTGCTTTAGTGCTGCAAATTGTTTTCTTTTTAATCCCTGGATCTGCACAGACTTAGGCCAAATCATTTACTACCAGCTTCTACTGTCTTTTTCCTGTTTCCTAGACCAACAGTGATTCATGGCTCGGTCATATGTCTGTTTACCAGAATTTTGGAAAAAACAGCTATATCTAACTTTACTTTGGCATATTTAGGGTTGTTTTATTCAGTTTCTGCAAAACACTGTTCTTCTTGATGAAGGACCTTTGTGAGCCTTGATCAAATAAGTTAGCACATATGGTTTTGTGTAAATTTATTAGATAACTCAACTCGATCTATCGGGGAGAGCAGTTGCTTTAAACTTATCGCTCACATTTGAATGTTGTTGCTTGTTGACTTCCTGATTCTGTGGATGTCTATTGCTGCGGTTCAGCAAAAGTATTTGGGCATGATGCTGTATGATGCATACCCTTGCATTTAAAACACTTTCTTCAGTGAGCATTTTCCTCCCCTTGTGTATCAATAACACTTGATGCACCTTTTCAGCTGAATAAATCACGTTGTTTACGTGCCTCCATTGAAGTGTATTGAATACAATTACTGTGCCCCAATGTGTTCCATCACAAAGTAACACATTTGGAGTACGATTTATGTATGACAGTCTGTTTATGTCTGTTGTATTCACAGCTTGATAAATGCTATATGGGATTTCCCATTTCTGTGGTTTAGTGGGAGTAGGTATACTATTTTTATACTGAGTTGAAGGTTTGTTATACAGGAATTTGTGGATTTTTCATCTTGTCTCGTTGCTTGCAGCATGAAACTATTGTTTTGTAACCATTGCTAATTTCTTCACAAGTGAAATAGCGTTTATTGATCATAATATTTAATCGTTCAATAGTTTGTGGTGACAACTTATCTTGTACAATACCACTGATAAACCAATCACATTGTCTTAGGTCATATTTAGCACCTAGAGATCTGAGACTATTGTCTAATGTGATTCTAAATGCCTGTAAGTCTGAAAAAACAATGTTTGGGTGGCTTCAAGCTTGATATTAAGACTGCATGTCTAACCCTGGCCTTGTCATCATCAAAGTAATTGTCTGCTAAGACACGTAAGGCTATTTGATAATTGCCTTTAACCACCGAAAATGACTTAATCAGTTCATAGGGTTCTCCTTTCACAAGACATTTAAGATAATTGAACTTAGCAATCTCATCTATGTCAGTTCGTGAATTTACTATGGATTGAAAATCACTAATGAATTCTTCATAATTATGACCTTGGAAAATAGGTAATGACAAAGTAGGTAAGCTTGGTAATGGGACACTTGTTGTTGTTACAGGTGTAACAGGTGTTTGACCACTAGTTACAGTAGGTCTCTGTGACAGAGTTTTGCGGCAGATAGCCTGTACTCCTGTCCACCTTAATTGTTGATTTACTAAAAGTATCCAAAACATTTTTAATTTCATCCTCAGATGGATCTGATTCAAGAAATTTATTTTCATAATGTGTATAGTCTGAATTAATTATTTTCAGACGTTGTGTAAGTAATTCAAATTTGACCTCAAGATCATCAAAATCTATGTTTGTATCTTGAGTTAATCCTATACAGACTGAAATTAGATTTTCTAATTGTGTAATCTTAGTCTGTAAAGACTGAAACTGAGTTTTCAAACAAGCCATTTTAATGGTATACTGAAAATTCTAGTACCACACTTAGAGTGTTTAAAAAAACACTGTACTGCTATAAACAGCTGAGTTTTTGTTATGCTTAAGTCAGCAATAACGAGTCAGACACTACTGACCCACTAAGCTTAACCTCAGGGTCAATGACCATGAAGGGTATAGAGTACATATGGCTGGTGTTTATGGCTTGAGTTTGCTGTGTCAGCCTGACCATGATGATTAATCGTAAATAACATTATACACTTCATTCACTATACACTATAAATGTCATTGTATAACTGCAAATCACACGTGAATATTACTTACACATATATAAATGTCACTGTTAATATGTATTTGAAAGCTTACACTTTATATAAAGTTCCTTTAATATAATAGGTATATCTATAAGAAACAAACTTTAACACAATCTTGTCTCTTAATTTCTGTCTAAAAACATTATAAACACTATGTGTATATACACTCAGACAAACCGAACATCAGTTGGGTTGTTGTTGTCTTAGTCAGCGCTTCTTCGAGCTTGGAGCAGTGGATGCCGGGTGCCATCCCCCATTTTCTTGTTGGGTGAGTCACCCTGCTCCCGTTTTCTTTGGGTGAATGCTGGGTGAGCGCCCATTTTCTTTTGGCTGCCCATTCTCTGTGATTGAGTCTGGAGGGACTCATTTATACTGATTATATTGTAAAACACTAGTTTTACAGCTTTTTTCGAAGGACCTTGGCTCGTAGGTTATTTGTACACTGTAGTACAACATATTTGGACCACAGTGTGGCCTTTATCCGGTTTGAAGGACCAAAATGTTGAGAAATGGGATTACCAGTTAAGCTTAATTTTAAATTTAAATATAGGGAACACTTAGCTGATAAAAGACAGCAAATCGTCTACACAGCCGCCCCTGCAGATGAGGTCTTGAATTGTTGTCTTGATCATCTCTCAACGGGCTGTAATGAGTTATAATTTGTAAGATTATAAATTACCCCTAGGGGGTGTTATGTCAGCATATTTCATTCACTGATGGCTGACAAACTTACTTGTGTGGACTCAAAAGTCCGCCCCTTACTGCCGACTATAGGTTGATTACAAACTCCTTGCGACTCAAGAACTGCGCAGTCCCCTGTACTACAAGAAATTTGTAACCTACCTTGCTCTTGTAGCGTGAGCTATGGTGTTCTTCACACCTTCGACAGGTATCGGTGACTTGATAGAAGCTGAAGTGTCCTTGGATGTCCACGTCTTCCATAGTCTAGGAATACGCACACTGGTACACTATGTTCCACAAGATTTGTCTTTATTGTTCACAATCTTATCACTAAAGAAGCTGATCACACTTCTCTTAAGTGTTTATTGTGTTTATTTAGACACTTTGTTCACACTAACACACAGACAGTGTTTTTTGATGGTTATCCCGGCATCAGTGTCACTCTCAGTAGAGTCAAAAGTAATCTGAAGACGCCACAACGCCCACGCCGTCACTGCCCCCCGCACAAAGGAAAAGCTGACCTAGTACTTTTGCTTTCATTGCCACTTCCTCGATGAAGCAAAGCAGAATGTTTGTTTCTTGCTGTCTTAAGCATAGACAACAATGTCCACTATCTTTACTATGGTAATAAATGGGAGCAGGATTTACCTTAATTGTCCTGCTAAGGTAAGAGATGTACTGTCTCTTATTAAAATTACACTTGCAACACTGGACTGCACGGAGCGGGCGGTCGCTTGACCACAGGTCGTATACTGGTACTGCATCTGGGATCAATTACTCGCTGTAGCAGTTTAAAAAAATATTTGCCCCTTCTGAGAGAGGGCTGAAAGGGGCTGAAGGGGGCTGATACCCCCCCCCTGGAGAAAATTCTCCACATCACCAGCGAAGTGTAGCCAAACACACAACACACTTCCGCAACACACAACGTGAGCCTCCGACACCTGACGTCCAAACCAGCTTTTTCACCTCAGCCCGAAGCATATCAGCTAGGGGCACTGTCTACAGTCTGCTCTCTCCTCTATGTCCTCACATGCCCTCTCTACACTGCCTCGCAGTGCCACGCAGCTGGGTTTAGCCCTGGCTCTTTCATCTACAACTCAAGACCTTCCCTTTTCATCCGACTATTCTCCGTCTGTCCACACTTCCCCACTCACCCACCGGAGTCCCAACAGAAGAGCCTGCTATGTGTGCTCTCAATGTCTGTCCTACGATCAACTTAGCTGCTGGGTTAAGCCCTGGCTCTATTTCTACAACTAAGAACGCTCCTCTCCAGCACTGTTCTTCGTCTGTCCCGTCTTCCCCGCTCATCCCATTTGGGATCTTACCTGAACTTTCGTTCGTTCGTTTCGTTCTGTATATTAGAAAGTGATCAAGGTCTCAGGACCGAAACGTTTTCTAATAAATATGTCTTAGTATTTGCTTATGTTTTTCTAAACCAGCTTCTCGGTATTTATTATCAAGGTTTATACCATCATAGCTAGTAACCAAATATATCTGCTACCTTGGTGTTCCATGATATAAATGTTGCAGCATATTATTACACAAGATTCAAACTATTATAATTCATACACCAAATTGTCACAGTATATAAGAGTCAAATACGGCGAACTATATCAGTCTATTATACTACTATATTTGTTTCATGACGAGGGGCGCTCTATAAAATAAGTTATACATGTCAATTATCCCAAAGTCAGTTGCATACTGTACTCCACTTTACAGCAATAAAGTTGTTTCTTTGTGTTTGTTTTCCTGTGTTGTGGGGCAGGTAAGGGCTCGTTCCCTGGAGTCAGCTGGAGTGTACTGGTATGTTGTCCTGAACGAGGATGTTAGTGATGGTATCCTCCAAACCCTGAGGGAGGGCACTCAGGTGAGGCAAAGGACCCCTAATAATAATAATAATAATAATAATAATAATAATAATAATAATAATAATAATAATAATAATAATGATGTTAGCTGCCCACTTCAGTAACTTGGTGTCTTGGGGTGATAGATGTCACTGGCCGTGAGGAGAGACGTGGGAGAGTACGAACTGTTGTCGTCTTACGTCGACCGGAGTAGCAATATCAAGTAAGCCCATCGTAATGTCAATATATTTCGACACCATGATTACCATAACACCATGGATGTCCACCATAAATCTACTATAACATCATGCCCACTACAACATCATCTTCATCACAACAACATCTTCACTGCACCATCATGTCCACTACAGCACTTTACGTTCATGACGTGCACTTACCGACAACTTGAGTATCTTTGGAAGACGTTTCACTAGTCAGTGGCTTTTTCAATACAAACTTTATTGACTGGAGACAATAAATGAGGCAATCAGTCCTTCAGCCTTGAAGAAAGTTAATAAACTCTTGTACTGAATTGATAAAGTCACTGGTTGGCGAAACGTCTTCAAAATACAGATACTGAGGTTTTGCACATGTGTCTAATGCGTCACTTTATGATAGGTTAAGTTACGTTAGGATAAGTTACTTTTAGCATGTCTGGTCAGGATTGTTGAGGTTATCCTGCCTGCCTGATCCACCTTGAATAAGTTCCATATGCAGCACTTAGGTATCTTGATGATTAAGTTCCATATGCAGCACTTAGGTATCTTTGCTGTCTCAACGTTTCACCTGCACAACAGGCTTGAGGAACTGACCACCTCTTACCAAGGCTGACGGAGTGATCACGTCAGAACCACTACTGCCTACCCGTTGCGAATGAAGAAGCAGGCGAAACGTTTCGTCAATAAAAAAATACCCTAAAAGTTGTCATAGGATTATCATCTCTTTTTCCCCATATAATTGTGAAAATGGGTTGGGCAAATATTTTTGTTAAATGGGTTTGGGTTTGAGAAGAACCTGCTAGTATGGGCCAGTAGCCTGTCGCAGTTTTTTCTCCATTCTTATGGTCTAGTGGAAATAAAAAGGTTAAAATACCGACACAATGGAAATATAAACACATATGCAGTATAATGTGATCCTTTATTGACTACGTTTCGCCCACACAGTGAGCTTTTTCAAGTCACAAACAGATCTACCTGGGGTGGAAGGGACGCGAGTATTTATAGTCAGGTTCAGAATGCTGAGGTCAGGTGGAGAATGCTGCATCTGATGATGTACCGAGTGGGGTTATAGAGTCTAAAATCTTGGGTAGCTTGGAAAGGAGATTTGGATAAGTTTGTGAGCAGACCTTCTACAGTGTACTTCCATTCCTGTGTTCTTATGTGTGATAGCGATGAAGAAGTTTCTTGGCAAGTGGTTCAGCTATGTTATAGAAGCCACTATTCTGGTTGAAGTTGTCGGATATAGAAATAAGTGATGATTCCAGGATTCTTCGGTATTGAGTGTTGTCTTCTGTGGCGATAAGTCTTGAGTTTCTGTAGTTTATCAAGTGGTTGTGTGAATTACGGTGTTGTACAACAGGCATTCCTTGTGTCGTCAGACCTGCTTGCGTACTGGCGTTCTGAAATACGTGTTTGGAGGTCCTTGATGTTTCGCCCACGTATAATTTGTTGCAGTCATTACAAGGGATTATGTATACCCCTGCAGAGGGTGGAAGCTTGTCCTGTCTCTCACTGGTAATGTCCTTGATGGTCGTGGTTGTGGAGGTAGATATTTGGGAAAATGAGGTATTGGAAAAGATGTTGGAAACGTGTTTGGCAATGGATCTTCCATTTCCAGCCAGCGATTTCATCGACCTTGTTGAACTATGTGTTGGCTTTACGTGTTTCTCTTTCGAAAACCACCTCTTTCAGCAGACTTTTGGACTACCATGGGTTAGCCACTCAGTGCGGTCCTGGCGAACCTACACATGGAACATCTAGAAGCCGAACGTTTCTCCACCATTATTCTTCGTCTGTCACCTGGCTCCGTTATGTTGACGACATTCTCCTCATAACTCCTAAACGCTTCAACGTTCAAGCTCTCCAAGACAAGCTCAACCAGGTCGAGCCTTCAATCCAGTTTCACACTTGAAGAAGAAGTCGACAACACTCTTCCTTTCCTTGATGTTCTGCTCTGCAAAGCTGACCACGAACTTCGTTTTAAAGTCTATCGAAAACCCAGCAACCAAAACGATCTTCTCCACTTCTACTCTTCACCACGACACCAAAACTAAACGTGGTGTAATTATAGGCTTCTTTCCTGCGTGCACTCAGAATCTGCAGCAATGAGTTTCTTGAAGAAGAATGCACGATAATTGAACAAGTATTTTCTAAACTCCACTATCCTCGTCACTTCATCAGAGACTGCAGACGACGGGCATTAAACATCTTCAACACACCCAGAGAAGACACTACCGAGAAGAGATACATAGTCCTCCCCCACCAAACTCCATTTGCCAAACACGTTTCCAACATCTTTTCCAATACCTCATTCCAAGTATCTACCTCCACAACCACGACCATCAAGGACATTACCAGTGCTAGACAGGACAAGCTTCCACCCTCTGCAGGGGTATACATAATCCCTTGTAATGACCAACAAATTATACGTGGGCGAAACATCAAGGGACCTCCAAACACGTATTTCAGATCACCAGTACGCAAGCAGGTCTGATGACACAAGGAATGCCTGTGTACAACACCGTAATTCACACAACCACTTGATAAACTACAGAAACTCAAGACTTATCGCCACAGAAGACAACACTCAAAAACGAAGAATCCTGGAATCATCACTTATTTCTATATCCGACAACTTCAACCAGAATAGTGGCTTCTATAACATAGCTGAACCACTTGCCAAGAAACTTCTTCATCGCTATCCCACATAAGAACACAGGAATGGAAGTACACTGTAGAAGGTCTGCTCACAAACTTATCCATCTCCTTTCCAAGCTACCCAAGATTTTAGACTCTATAACCCCACTCGGTACATCATCAGATGCAGCATTCTCCACCTGATCTCAGCATTCTGAACCTGACTATAAATACTCGCGTCCCTTCCACCCCAGGTAGATCTGTTTGTGACTTGAAAAAGCTCACTGTGTGGCGAACGTAGTCAATAAAGGATCACATTATACTGCATATGTGTTTATATTTCCCTTATGGTCTAGTGTTGCACGGTTAGTATGCCATCAGTACTGTTTCTGATGCAACTTCGCCCACCTGCAGGCTTGAGCAGGTGGGGTGGTGGAAGTGGACTTCCTCCGATGGATCTAAGACTTCCCTCTGCCGGCCCCTGTATCGCCCCCTCAGCCAGATCTACAGCGACTTCGGCGGGAGGGAGCTGAGGGCAGCAGTAGCCGACAACTGGCCTTACTTCCAGGTGACGAGACAGCCAGACGGGACCCTCCAGCCATTCTCTGGCATTGACTACAACCTCCTCAGCACCATCGGTGGCAAACTCAACTTTACGTAAGATATCAGTGGTAACACGATGGATTTTTTCAAATTCGCTGCAGTATGTGAAGCGCTGAACCAATGTAGATCAAAATTTAATTATTTATTATTATATTATTATTATTATTATTATTATTATTATTATTATTATTATTATTATTATTATAGGGAAGCGCTGAACCTGTAGTGATCATAAAGCACTTGAGACATGATGAAATATAATCAGGTTTGATCCAATGGAAGGGAAGAGAAGTCGATTTCCTTGGATCATGAGCCCTTCACCAGCATTAAAGCATCATTCCTGAAAATTTTTTGCATTCACAAAGTTCAATCATGTTATATAATATACGACAACTACATATTTGAGTCGTTCTAATAATAATAATAATAATAATAATAATAATAATAATAATCAGTAGTGCCATAAATCACACTTTACACAATTCTTGAAAAAATAAAAAAAAAATTCTTCCTTTGTCATTGATGTGGGTGGAATCATGTTTATTCCACCCAGTCGTTAGAGGATGACATTAGCAAATGGTTATAATAATAACCATTAATTTTTAAAGGGGTGGACCGGTAAGCCAGCGGAAGGCCTTGAACAGATGACCAAAAGCTCCAACTGCGGGTCATCATATGACTAAGACCCGCGTCAGGAAACACTTGTCCTGTTTCCTGACAAACCTTACCTAACCTAACCTAGAGAGAATGTCTATTTTGGGAGGTATGGCTAATGAGAGGGGAAGTATCTATTGTGAGAGGGATTCTGTTGTGAGAGGGGTGTTACCTATTGTCAGAGGACAGATACTTTAAAGTCGGTGCCGGATCAGCCGGGCTGTGGTTCGTACGTTGGACTATGTTCGGCCAGCAACAACAACCTGGTTGATCAGGCCTTGATCCACCGGGAGGCCTGGTCATGGACTGGGCCGCGGGGGCATTGATCCCCGGAATACGTCTATTATTAGAGGGGGTATACACTGTGGTAGAACATGTCTATTGTGAAAGGTGGTACGTCTATTTTGTGAGAGATATATCTTGAAGAAATATGTATACTAAAAATGTTATGGAGGGAGTCCGTAGATGGTAGTGTGTTAGAGCAGGAAACTCGCACAAGACTGAACCACACTCAGTGTTTGTGGCGAGAGCGTTGCCAGACGGTTCAATCCCCAGCATGGGAAGGCAACATACCCAAAACTTTTCAACCCCATCGGGGATTGAACCGAACTTAAATGTGGAGGCAAAGCGTTGCCCCCGAGCCAAAGGGTTCAACCTAAAGTCAGTTGGACAGTTTTCTTCATCACTCTCAGTTATAGTTACCATCCAGTATAAAACCCAGTTACCAAAACCGCCCGTTGACCAAGACCAAACCGTCTCTGCCTGAGTCACTATCTGAATTCATATTGTGCTGCCCTAGCAGTATCAAAGCCCCCTCCACGGGTACGGGGCACCCGGTTAGTCAGTTTTTTCGAGAGGAAAGAGTGAGATAGGCCACGGCTGTAAGGGCTCTCTCCACATACAGAAATTTAAACAAAAATAACGCCACTGAGTTTTCTTCCTAATCCACGTATCGAACTCCCCATGATAAATGGTGTACGGGGGTTTTTGGAGCGGGATTTTTACGTTTTTAAGGTAATTCAAGCTTTTTGAAGACTTTTTGAGTAGCCGGCAGGTAAAAGGTGAATCTCCACCAGTCGTACCCCCTCACAACCCCCGGGGCCAGCCGTTATACCCTCACTCACAACCTTTCAGCCTGAAAGCCTGTTGCAGCCCCGTTTCAAGTTTCCGGGGTTTTAAATTCTGTGTTTAATTGTTTCAACCCCGAGGGTTGACCCATTTTGCAATTAACCATCAGTAAGCCAGACTTGGAAGTGAACCCCATCACCTATCATCCCCCTGTCCCTGTCATCCAACGTCCCCCCGTGCTTTGTGCATCTTTCCCCCGTCCCCAGTCAGCCATTCTCGTGGGGTAACCCCATCAGCCAACCCAGCTTCTAACCCACGAAGAGGAAAGAAAGCCACGCAGTAAGAAGTAACCAAGTTCCTCTGAAGAAAATTGCTATACTTTTTGTGCCCCCGTTGGATGCTAAAGTGGTTTCCCCCCTTTCCGGGATAGAGGGGGTTATAAAAGCCACCTCCGGGGTAAGAGTAAATGCGCGCCAGGACCGCCACAGAGGCACCCCCACCACCCCACCACCACCCTCTCTCCCACCACTGACACCTCATCCCTGGGGTTTTTTTGCCCCCTGTACCGGGTCCTAGTACTTTTTTGGCTCATAATTGGTCAAGAATTGTACTGGCGCCAACGACAACCCAATTAGGGAGTTTAGAAAAAAACGCGCTTCTTCCGACAACAGGGTAGGTGAGGGTCACCTCACCGCCCGTCTACACTCCAGACTTAGTGATAATTTTCTTGAGCATTTTTCTTGATTTAAAACATTTGCGTGTGTGAGACTTTTTATAGTAAATTGCTTGTGTACTCTAAACCTTGTGTTTTTTTTTTTTCGTTAACTCATTTTTTTTTTAAAATATTTTTCAGTGTTTTCACTTATCTTATATTATTTTATTTGGTTTTTCTTATGTACTCCTGTCTGTAGTAAGTATTTTTGTTAGTGTACCATCGCACCCTGTGTGAAGTGATTCTTTTTTTTTTTATTGTATTCTTTCAGCTTTGATTCTCCAGAAATTATCACTGTATTTCATGCAGGTATTCCCCCCTTACTAAATTATCCATTTATTTCTATGTGTGTTTTTTTTTTTCGTATGCCAGCATGCCTTTCCCTCTAATTTTTTTTCGCAGACTGTGTACCATTATTTTTCCCAGCAAATTTTTTGTCGTATCAGTCACGCAAGAAATTTTTTGTTGTACAGTCACAGCGGAATTTGTTGTAAAAAAAATAATACTGTTGTTGCTCCCCCACTGTAAGTTTTTAATATTCCCTGTTTTGTTCCTGTTTTTTATTTTTTTTTAAATTCTTGAACAAATTCACTCTTGAGCAATTTAAATTACTTTTAACGAAAAGTTTTTTCCCTTACTCTGTTTGAGTAAATTTTTTTGTCTAATTTCTTAAGAGTTAAAGGTTCAATCAGTAATTTTTTTTTGATCTTCATTTTTTAATTCATTATTTTACCTGAGTTTTCCCAGGACACTTTTTTACTGCGTGATTTTTTTCTACACTTTATTTTGTTGCTCTTGTTCAGCATTAAATTTATTTTTTAAAAACTTGTTCGCAGTGAATTTTTTTCTTTTATGATTTTTTTATAAATTTATTTTTTAAATTTTGTCTATGCATTCTTAGAAAATACTTAAAAAATTCCCGTTAAAAATTTTAAATAATTTTTATTTTACATTTTCACATTGTTTTAAAAAAATTTAATTAATTAATTTTTTTTTTTGCAAGAGAAAGACAGCTCTTTTTAAATTTTAATTTTCAGTCCCAGTAATATTTTTACTTGTAATTTAAAATGAAAATTTTTTTTTTTTGGGTCAAAGTCCTTTAAATTTGGTTTTCCTTCCTTTTGCAGGATCTTAGACATTTATTATTTCTGCAGAATTAGTTGTATACTTTTTTTTTAAATTCTAGAATTTTATTTTCTTTTTTAAATTGTTCATTATTTTTGCTTATTTTTTCCGTGCTACTTTCCATTATGCCCCACATACCGAAAGTGATACTTTAGTGAATGTCACACTCAGACCTCTCAGGCTACGCGGCCCTGTCATCAGCCCACAGTTCCTTCCCGACTGAAAGCCCACCCAGCACCGAGATATTATAGTTATACTCGTGTTTCCCCTTGTGCGTTCCCTTTTAAATCAATGGCCATGTACTAGTTTGAAGCATGGTTGCACCCTTTCGTTCTCGTGCAGGCCCAGGTGAAGGTCCCCTTCAGAGGAAAGCCTTATAAAATTTTCAAAGAAGCTCTTTATCAAATTCCGCTGCTGTTAAAGTTGTTGACCCCTTGAATGCGGGGGTTCAAAATCTTCCCTAAGGTCAAAATATAGGAACTGATTCTTTCTTTCCTTGCCCCAAAAAAACAGCTGATCCATAGTCTTTTTTGGGGAACTAGGAATGCTACCCCCATGAAAATGAATCGTTTGAGTGCATTTGCTGTTGATTAGACAAATTTTTTATCATTTTATCATGCTGCCAATCATCAACTTTTCCCCCTGAAAGGCAAAACCCAAATTTACAAATCAATGCAAAAAAGCAGCTTTGGAGAAAATTAAAGAACTAATGCCACCTGCTTCGTGGGCTTATGGGCTCTTCTCCAACTTAACGATGGAACCACTTCACCCTTTAAATCATGTACGTTCCTTGTCCCCCCAGGGACTTTCCCTTGAAAAAAAGAAATGCCCACAATTGCCTCAGTCTGCCCCACCTTTTTGTTTGCGCCACAGAGCAAATCGTGGCCCGCAACCATCTCAGAGACATAAAGAGCGTTATACACCTCGTAGTTTCATGACTTTCAGTAACCATAGCGGCGGAATTTTAAAATTTTGGGGGTTTCCGTGGACATTTTCAATTAATTGTCCTGATAGTTACCCTAAAAACGTCGTATGATGAGGGGTACTCAGATCTTCCCTACGTACTTATCATAGAAACATGGACATGCACATCTAAGTGTAATGCCTCTAAAACCCTTCAGTACCTAGGTCTTTCCGGGGTTTTCCCAAACCGCAGAACCCGTAGAGAAACAGATCTCTTTTCTCAAAAAAACCCAGAACCAGGCCATTCATTCAATTCTCAAACTAACCAGAACCAGGCTCTTTTTCCCCAATTCGGGGAATTCGAGCCCCCCCAGTCAAACCGTCCCGGGTGACAGTAGGTGATAAGAGTAAAACCATCCCCTTCACAATTTTTGAACCCTTAAGCAGTCTCGAAATGAAAAACCCTGCGGGGTTTTGCTTCACATGTCTTGACATAGATGATTTTGGGAGGGAGTAAAAACAAGTCTTTTTGATAAAAATCCCCCTTTTTTGTTTGCAATAATTTCCCAAATCAACCAGGGGCCCTTAGTGCAAGC